TTTTTTTATACAAATAATAAATTTCGAAGAATTTATTCTATTTTAGATGACATTTTGTTACAATATGATTCATTACCAAGTAACGAATCTCATCGTTGTTGGTTAGTCAAGCGTCAAATGTTGCACATATCAAAATCGAACAAAACTTTGTTTTTTTTAAACTTTTTTTTATGACATTATAATTGTTTTTAACGTAATTTGATATTACAGTCTTTCTTAATTTATACTATTCTTAATCAAAAAAAAATAATGCAACCAACACATGCTGTAAATATTACAAATAAAAATTATCCTCTCACACAAGAACATCGTGCACGTCTTTATCAAATGTTAAGTGAATTAGAAATCGAACATTTACGTTTAATTCTTTCAACTCATATGCCAAATTCTACAATAACAAATAAATTTCAAAATTATACATATCAACAACTTCTTCAGCAAGGTTTAATTCTTATTGATAATTATTATTCAGCAGATTTAGAACAAGGAATAATGAGTTTAATGCAAAAACGTACTCAAACTGATTTTTATCATCATTATCAACAGCAAATACCACAGCAACAACAGCAGCAGCAGCAGCAGCAACAACAACAACAGCAACAGCAAATGTTTTATTATCCTCAACAAGCAGCGCAATATACTCCACCATCAAATTTTCGTTTTTCAGCAACACCAGCAATATCACGACAACTAAGAACACGTAATTAGTTATATACAATCATTTTATATATTGAGAATTAGTTCTGAGATTTATCGAAACGTTAGTCGAGTACATATCAATAGCAGTATTACAGATATTATCTGAATATATTTTGAAATATTAATATATACTATTACTTAGAGTTTTTGTCATATTTCAGTGAAATATTTTATAGTAACTGAATTAAATGAAACTTTGTCTTAGTAGTAATGTTATTAACTAATATCATATATATTTTATTCTATTTAATTTATGTTTTTTATTAGTTCGACCGAATGCAGCTGCACCTCAGTCGACTGGTATTTCGAATGCTCGTGTCCAACAACAACAAGAACAACACCAACAGCAACAACTACAACAAAAAGCGACCTTTAATCCTTCTCTTATTTCTTTGCAACATCCAGCGAGACATCCTTCACCTACACACGTAACGAGCAGCCCCAATCGACCTGCTGGTCCACGACGTCCAGCTCCAGTTTTACCTCAATCTTCACCTGTCTCAACACCATCGACAGTATCCACTTCAAACTCCACTCCTAATTCATCTCCAATAATTCCTAGTCAACGTCCGCAAATACAAAGAATCGTTCATAAAAATTTACCATTCCTACGTACAATATCATGTGTTCATGAACGTTATAATATATTTAATTATGATTCAAATCGTAAACAATCTTTATCACATGATGAATTTGTTTTATCATTAGATGCATGTAATCAATTAGCTTTATCATATGATTATGATCCTAATATCGATACTTACAAGACAAGTAATTGTCTTATCTTACGTCTTGTACGTACTGATTTACCACCAGCACCCAATGGAAAATATGAAGATAATCTTCCTGCTAATTTAGCTATTCATGTTAATGGTCATATTTTAACAAATTTACCAATACCAAAACCATGTACACGACAACAAAAAGATTTAATACGTAGTGGACGTGAAATCGATATAACATCATTTTGTATGTTTAATCCAATATTAAAAAATGATATTACTATTACATGGAATTGTCGTCAAGATAATGCTGCTTTATGTGCACAATATGTCAATGCAGAATATGCATTACATATATTTCTTACTGAACGTTTAACAATTAAACAATTATGTGAACAAATTCTTAAAAAAATGGCAAAATTTTATCGTGATGATTTAGCAAAAATCTTAGAGAGAGCACGTACTAAAGATCGTGAACTTGGTTTAGAAGTTAGCGATCAAAAATTAAAATTAATATGTCCTATTGATCAAAAACGTTTAAAAATACCTATACGAGCAACTACTTGTCAACATTTACAATGCTTTGATTTAACGAATTATATTGGTAAAAAGGACTAGATTTTTTATAAATTTATCTATTTATTTATATTTTCTTCTAGCTTTAAATGAAAAATCAAATAAATGGGTGTGTCCGGTTTGTAATAAATCTGCTTTATTTGATGATTTACAAGTTGATTTATATACAGAATCAATATTAAATTCAATACAAAGTGATAATATAACTGAAATAACAATTGATGCTCATCTTCAATGGAAACCTGTTGTACAATCGAATATGATGAGTGAATCATTCGATTTCAAATCCAATAGAAGATTTTTATCATCATCAGCAAATGAACCTATATTAATTGATGATTAAGCAACAAAACATCATATTTTTGTTTTCTGTTTGTCTCTTTGTTGTAAATAATAACAATTTTAGTTAATTTTTATTGTTTTTTGCACTAACGTAATTGAATATAAAAAATTCTGTTAATAAATTTAATAAAAATGAAAAAAGAAATTATGATTATATCGGTCGATCAATCGATATAGAAAAACACTCGTTTATCCAATCAATCAGAAATATCTTCATTTACACAAGATATTTCCGTTTGATTACCAATCTATATTACTACTATAAAACAATGTTATAGTGATTAGCATGACTTTCTCTTTGGTCAATTATCTGGCCAGTTATCAAAACAAAACGTATGGTAATATAAACATTATCATTATAACAAACTGTACAAGACATTGATGATGTTGTAGTAGTATCAATATTCCTTCGTTTACCACTTGATTATTCATTCATGCATATATGAATAGTACTACTACTACTCGAACGAGTAATAACATGTAAACATATATTGTGAAAGTAATGAATATAGAATCAATGGTGATCGCAGTGATTGGTGATCCGGCGACCGCCACCCTCTGGCAGTTCTTTTTCTTTTAGTAAAAAAGCATTAAAAAAATATATTTCACTACCTTGAATATGCCCCGAAAACCAATTTTTCATTATGACTACTGTCTCTCCGACAAACCCTCGCTGTATAAAATAACAGAGATTGAAACAGAAAAATCAATTATTGACGATGATTTAAATGAGCAAAAACAAGATGTGTTCATGAATTTATAATTTCTACAATCAATTGAATAAAAGTTTCAGTAGTAGGATATTTCAGTTAAAGGACTAAATCCTAATTAAATACACTTCTCTAATTCTTTTACTCTGGATGATTATTTGTTAAGTATATTAAAGTCTCAATAACTATTCCATATTTAGAAAATTCTAGGAAAGCTTTGTTTGAAAAAACTAATTTTAGATAGAAGAAAATATTATATTACGTCTAGGTATCATTTATTTCAAAACAGAAATTTGATTATTTTATCAAGTTTATATAATAATTAACTTAACTACCTAGATTCGTATAAATATTTTGCTTTGATTTATCTTTTCATAGTTCAAAGCATTAATAAAAACTATTATTAAGATCTTATGTCATAATATAATTATATAAAACATATTGTTGTCATGCGATAGATGAATTGAAAAAAAGAAGAAGAATGAATCTGCTTGATATTCAGTACTATGCTGAATAAAGTTAACACATAGGTTACACTTCATAAAATAATCGATTATCATGATTAAATCTAAACATCAGTATCTATTTGGAATATAAATATAATATATATATCTTTATTTTATATTCTATAGATATATCTATACAATAACGAAATGAAAATCTTTGATTATCTCATATAAAAGTATTTCTATTAATGAGACAAGATAAAGATCAATATCGGTTCATTACTTATTACTATTGTATTTTGTAATTATCAAAAGAATTCTTATTCAATCTTTCTAATCATTTAGAGAACAAATGAGTAAATTTTTTTACAAAGATATCAAATGCGATAGTCAAACAATGTCATCCATCATAAAAATTTGAATACAACATATTCTTCCTAATGATCAAATGTCTCATTCTTATCATTAACATTCGAAACAACGTCTTGCAATATTATGTAATCAAACATGAAAAAAAACTTAATTTTATTTCATATGAAAGACAAAAGAATTATAACTATAGGCTTTATTAATCTATAGATAGAATTAATTATAAAATATCTTAAGAATTCATTGTTTAATCAGAATCTGCCAATAATCTTAACTGTAGAATGTTTCAAAAAAGAAAATAAATAAAATAAATTTTCTTTCTTCATGTTCATCTGGTCTATTAAAATTAATAAGCTTTTCACGAATGACAGTTGTTGCTTTTAATAAGGCATTTCTTTTTTCTTTTTCTTAAGTATATGTAAATATATCATTCACTAACGCATGTGAAAGTCATTAGACTAACGGTCATCGAACAGACGGCATCATAAAGATTAATAAATAGAGACTGATTGTGATAGATGCTCTATGTGTTGAAGTTTCTAACCTTATTCCTTAGAACTTCCTGTAACTTCTATCTCTTGACTTGAGAAAGACGTAATATACTATGGCCTTGTCACCTTTGAAAAAAAGAGAAACAGTAGATTTAATAAAAGCACATTTGTTTGTAGTAAGAGAACATAAGAATACCTCTTCCTTTTTTCCTTTTTTTCTCGACTTGTTCGCCCTTCTTTGAACCATCACAGACAAGTTTAGGTTCGTCCATAGATAAAAATCTGTCCTGCTGCTCCTACATCTTGACAAATCAGTCACAACTCTATTCTCTCTCTTTTTCCTTTCTTGTTCGGTTATTCTTAGAGTAAACGACTCTATTCTCATATTCATTCATTCATTCACTCACTCACCCTTTCCTTTTCATCACGTTCACGCAAGAAGAAAGAAAGACAGACAGACATCCATCCATAGAAGAAAGGGAAAAAAAAGAAGGAGAAGAAAGAGGGACAGAAAGAGAGAGAGGAAGAGGAAGAAAAAAAAAGAAGAACAAAAAAGTTCATTAAATGAGATCAGGCGAAGTAACAACGACAACTATTACATTTGTTTCTTTTCATTTTGATCTTCATTTTCATTCATACATATAAATGACACCACGCAAGTCTTCTTACACATTTATTGCTCAAGCTGAAACATTACTAATCTATGGTATATTTCTATTCTTAACTGGATTAGCACAAATATGTATAACAATAAGTCATCGATATATAACTGAAAGAACGATTCATCAGAATAACAATATCAATATACTCAATTTTTTTCCAACTACATTATCGATGAATGATATACATCTGTGGTATATTTACCCATCGGCCACAATAGTAAGTCAGTCTTTATGAGAAAAGAGATCATCAAGTGGATATATTGATATAAGGACACATCAAAAATGTCAGATATGATGATAGTTTAATGAATACTGAACAAAGCTTTCTTACCCTTTTGGATCTTGATAAAGCAAATCAATTCTTTTATTTAAACAAAGATATAATTTTCATTCTTTTTTTTCTTCTTATCAAATAAATTTATCATTGACAAGATGATATTTATATTCATTATACTAATCAAATATCATTTCATAGTCTTTTAGTTTCATTCAACTGAATCTCTAGCATTTTAGTTCTATTAGAATATTTTCTGGTTGATTGAATAATCTATGACATATAGAGAGAAGTGTGAAATATACTGTCATATACCCAGAGGTTATTTTCTTTCAATCAAATAAATGTATATGCTTACTTTGGACAATAATCATATCTTCTCTTGTGTATTTTGTTCAACTCCACCCATTTTAATATTTATGATTAGAAACGTGATAAATATCATTTTTTTTTTATTTTTCCTCCTAGACAATCATCCCATTTCTTTCTTGTGTAACCTACACTTTATTTAAACGACCAACTATGGTAAAACAAAAAAGAAGAATCTATTTATTCAATCATATAATAAAGTTATGTTTCTAATTTAGCCAATTCTTATATGTGTATCATCATTGATCAGTTTTCTCTTTTCATCGATTTATGTTGGTCTTCTTGTTGTACATACATTACAATATTGGCAAACAAATTCATCAAATAATTCGAAATCTATACAACCTACAACAACAACACCAATAACTACAACGTAAATATGATAATATTTATAAAAAAAAAGTTTCTAAACAATTCATTTAATTTAGACATGTACTTGTACCATTTGAAGAACCAGCAACATTTGATAATTTAGCATTATTAATAACATTCACATTAGCTTTAGTTCAAGCTCTTCTATCAATGATTGGAGCAGTTATTTCTTGGCTTTGGTCACCATGTTGTATGAATTCCTGGCCAACTTACACACCAATTTCTACTACTTCACATTATGCTCAAACAACTCCACATCGCCATGAGGTATCTAACGAAAACTATCTATATCTAAATAATCTATTATATATATATTTATTTAGACTCCTCAATCAGCAACTTTACGTAGTGTTAAACGTCAACAACAACAAGAAACACATCGATTTATAACAACAAATGGACATCAAGATACACTACGTAATGGTGTTCTTCATAAAAACTCCACAATTCGAAGTCATTATGATGATGTTTAAATGTTGTTTTCATTTTTTTTTTCTTTTATTTAATTTTCATAATTGTTGTATATATATGTCATTTTCAGTAAAATGTTGTGTTATTAAAATTATAAGAAAAAATTATCTCATTTATTTGAACAAAAAAAAAAACTTTATTTCTATGGAATATAATAAATGACTTTATAAATAAATAATTATAAAAGAACGTGTAATGAATATTTTTTAATATATGTTAATTGAATGTAAAAATGTGTTTTTCGTTATTTAAACAGACGATGACTGAATAGATAGAATAAAATGAGCAGATGTGTTCGCACATCCCTCTTTTTTTTTCCATTGACCTATCTGTTTCTTTTGCCGTTAAAAGAGAAAGAAACAATCGCGTCGGTCAACGATGCCATCACTATTGTCTTTCTCTCTATTCAATAGAGAGCATTTTATTCTTCTTTTTGTTTGGCTTATGTGCGGATGATCAAGTGGAAGTTGATAACAATTCTATTGATTGTTATCATCATTTTTACTTATTTAACTGGTCATTTAAAACAACAAATACAATATTTAACGAATAATAATCAAGAGAATAATGTTCCCACACTTGTTTTTATTCATATACAAAAAACTGCTGGTTCAGCATTTGAACGATCAATTGTTCGTCGACTTTATTTTCAATCACAACCAAGTTGTCGATGTCCAGTTATGTTAAGAAATAATCGTACTAAACGACCAAGTATTAAATTGCGATGTAATTGTTTAAGAAATAATGAACCATGGCTTATTAGTCGATTTAGTGTTGGATGGATATGTGGAGTACATGCAGATTGGACAACTTATCATCGATGTTTACCTTTGAAAATGAATTCGGAATATGGTTTTAATAAACGAAAGTATGTTAATTATTAAAGAAAGTTGAAGTATAATCAGAAATCATTCGAAGAAAGTTTGATAAAAGGCGACCACAAATTTCATAGTAAAGTTTTACCCAGGAATGAGAGGTTTGTAGAGAAAAAATTTCTCTATCGAATTCTGTTGACTATCGTAAAAATCGATTTTTGGCTTGAATTCAAGCCAGTTAGAGACATACATCCAACTTTCTTTTGTGTCCGTGAATCTCAATAAAACATTGATTTGAACCCTCAAAATACATCAGTTTGTAGAGAAAGCATCAGAGAGCAAAATCTTCACCTCAAAAAAAATTTAATGTAAAAGATGAATTATAGGCAAGAGATTTAGTTGACTCCGATACAGGTCTCTAATAGGCTTGAATTCAAGCCAAAAACCGATTTTTACCGTACTCAACAGAATTCGATAGAGAAAATTTTTCTCTACAAACCTACATATTTCTCATTCCTGAGTCAAAGATTTGTAGTCGCCTCTGTAGATTTATTCGACGAATAGAAAGAATTATTTACGATTATAATTTCCCAAAAAAAAGAAACAATTTTATTCGTAATCTTTAGTTATAAATTAGATTATTTTACTACTAGAACTTTCTCATATAAATGAACTATCAATATGATAAATGTCAAAGGTATAGACAAAACAAAAGATTGGTATGATGATAGGAAAAATATGATTAAAGAAAAATTTTAATTAACATGTACAATAAAAATAGACATAACAAAGAAACATCTACGTATTTTATAGAGATTATGGCAAAATATAGCAATGAATTTGAATTATTAATAAACTATTGCTTATAAGACACGAAAGAAAGTGATAATATCAATATATAGATGAATATTGTAATTAAATATTATATTTCGATAGGGCAAAATCAAAGTATTTTTTTGATGATCCTTAAGCACTGAAAAGAGAGCAATAATAAACATATAAGTAAGACTAGGAATCAGGAGTGCAGAATCTTCTGTAAAAATGAAAAATTTTCCCGAACGCAGAAAAATCAATCACAACAAATTTTTGTTGAAGAAATGAAGAGAGTCAAGGGACTACAATATGTTTAAAATATATTCTATCCTAATGAACATATCAGATCATTTACGTATAGAATAATATTTTCATCTAAATAAATTTCCTTATTATTTCCCGATAGAAAAAATTTCAAAGTCAATAATTTTTCAAAAATTTCCCCGAACGCACGTTCACGCAGAAGGCCAAATTCTGCACGTCTTCTTGGAATAATGACATTGAAACTTTAATGTCAATATACAGCATAGTCTTGCTTAAAAATTCACCTTGATACGTACTCTTTAATATCATTCATATTTTCACTTTATCTATTGAAATTCGATGACAAAAGTTTTTCGTCTACGATTAATTTACAACTTCAATATAAATACAACCTGTGAGAGAATTTCGCAGACTAAACACTTCCAATTTCATCTGTATTAGAAAGTTAAACGGAGTTAATCTCTCTAATCTTTTAAAAACTATATCAATATTTTACAATGAGTGAACTTATCGTTATACATATCATTAAAACCTAACAATTATATTTTCAAGAGAACATTTCTTTAATAATAGTCGTGTCTATAAACTACATACAAAGTAGTATATATGATTTATTTATAGACATTATTCTTAGTTTTTTTTACAGTATAATTAATTCATTTTTAACGATGTGAAAATGATCTGTTGATGATGTTTAACAATAAATATAAGCAATTATTAATTACTAATAATCTGTCTTATACAGAAAAATATATATACAAAATTTTTAATAACAACAAGAAAAATGAGTTCAATTATATTTTTTAAATTTAATCTAGATTTCTCTATGCAACATTACTTCGCGAACCAATCGCACGTTTTATTAGTGAATACCTTCATACACTTCGTGGAGCAACATGGCTTTCTGAACGCTTATCTTGTCAGAAAGCTCAACAACTTCGTAATCAAAGTGCTTGTTGGAGACGTAAATATAAAAAAAAATTAATTTTTAATTTAATAATAATTATTTCTTATTTAGATACAAATCTAACTGATTTTATGCTATGTCCATTTAATTCAGCTATAAATCGTCAAACACGTATGCTATCATCATCAGTAAATAATTGTTTATCATCATCATTTACTTATTCAAATTTAATTGATATTGAAACAGCTAAAAAAAATCTTCAATCAATGGAATTTTTTGGTTTAACTGAATATCTTCATTTAAGTCAACGTTTATTTGAACAGACAAGATTTTGTAAATTATTTCAAATCTGTTCATTTCAATCTTATCTTGAACAAGATTTAACAAACAATCAAACAAATGATTATTTAACAACAAATGTAACAACAATTGATTTAAATTATCTACGACAAGTCAACAGTGATGATATTGAATTATATAAATTTGCAAGAACATTATTTTTTCAACGTACTTGTCAAATATTGAAAATTGCTTGTTAATGACACTACAACAACAACAACAGAAAAATTGTTTTTCTTCTTCTTCTTCACCTATTTATATCTGTCACTTGAGATTATCTGTTTTTGTTGTTAAATAATCATAGTTATACCTGACAAAAGTAAAACAAATTTGTTGGATAAGAAAAAATATTTGTTATCATTATTCTTCTTCTTTTTTTTTCTTCTTCTCACAGTAATTCTTCGTTTTCTTTTTCTGTTTTCTTCGTTTTTTTTTTTATTATTGGTGACATCCGCGTATATACAAGACCAATACTCGGCAATTTTCGGAAAATAATAATAATAATAATGGAAAGCAACCATAGAAAACTATCTTTCTTTTTTTGCTTTTATTAGTCTTTGTTATTGTTGCATGTTCATTTAAAAAAAGAAAAGATTTTCCATGTCATCCTCGTTTTCTTCTATCTCCGTATATCTCTTTCTCTCTTTCTCTCTAGATAGTATTTGTTTGATGAGTAGTGACGAAGAGAGAACGAGGAAGATAGAGCAATGCATGACGTTCTCGTCATCGTCTCGTTTCATTGCTTAGCACATGTAGATAGATAGAGTAAAAGACAAGATAGAAATAGAGAAGGAAAACAAGAGAATAGCAAACAATAATAGTATCTATTCATAAAATCTTTAAAGACACAAAATTTTATATATATATATATATATCTCAATCATATTCTATCATTTGATCATGTCTTTGTTCGGACTCAACCGTTCATTTGAATAATCATATGTAAAAAAAAAAAGAGAAACTTTTAAATCTTACTTCTTTTATCTTCTTATTTAGTAGTATATGTTGCTTCGGCTGACTTATTCAAGTGAGTTTGACTTTAGTTTTTTTTTCTCCCTTATTATTCCTTATAGCTTTGCGCTCCAATTAACAATGAGAGTATGCAGCATTGAATCAAACATTTCAGAGAGTTCGCCTAACGGATGTGGTTGAATAAAACAATAATAATAATAGTAATAAAAATATATATATATGTTAAAGAGAGTTGTTCTGTGTATTGACAATAACGTCATCATTTCTTTGATCATTCATCGATCAGAACGGTGTCGTAGTTTCTATTCATTCATTCGTTTGTTTTTACTATTCGTTAAGTTGACAGTTGTTACAAATTTTATTTGCTTGTTTTTTTTTTCTTCACATCAACATGCGCGTGTCGAAAGACATTTGTCGCTTGTGTTCACTCATCGATCATCATTAGAACCGATGAAGACAGGGAGGGAGAGAGAGAGAGGGAGATGTTACGAGCCAACATTCACTTCTCTCGTCGTTGTCTTCTTTTTTTTTTCTTTTTTTTTTGCTTCTTAAGTTTACTTTATTAGATTATGATCGATTGGTGGTGATCGAACCATGATAAACATTGAGTAGAATTTGCAATCAGACAATGTCGTAGAAGAATAAGATCGAATGATGATGCTTAGAAATTTTTTTTATAATAAAGCATAAAAGAAGAAGAATATAACGATCGAGAAGATCTCGTATGTTTCTAATTTTCTTATCAATAAGTATGATAAGTTTTCTTTTTCAATTTGCACATTTCGTTCAATAGTTTTCTTTGAAATAGAAATTAACTTTCTAGTCATTGATTTCTTCTTTTATTGTCTATTATAATATAACTTAAATTATGTGCACAAATAATATCCCGCATATGTGTATAACAATAAAAGATTATATATACAGATATGACTTTTCTTTCTCTTTTTTTTTGTATATCTAAATGATAGTATTTTTGTTTATACATTACTTAATCGATAAATATTATATACAGTGTCAGATTTCCTTGCAATTGACAGAGGAAATTGATATTTGTTATTGATTATACGACTCCAATTTTTGAGATAATATAGAAATGCTAATGGATTATTAAAGAAGAACGAAACCAGGTGCTTCTATTTGCTTTTCATTGATTATATAGTTAGCATCTTCTTTTTTTCAGATACCAACTGTCACAACATAAGATATTTTATTATTATTATTTGTTGTCTTGTCATCAATTAAATTAGATGATATATAAATAAAATAGTCATTGAATATGATACAATTATCTGAATAAATATGTATGTATCCTTGTAAAAAAATTTTCTTTTAATCTAATATATTATAATTGTTAAAGGCCACCTGGTCCTGATGTCGTTTTAACACCAACAACTAAAACACCTTTTCGTATTCAAAATTATCGTACATTAGCATATGTTCTTACAACACTTGTTTATCTTGTTATTGGTGCAGCTATATTCGATAGATTAGAATCAACACAAGAATCAATTAGTTATGCTAATTTACAAACACGTATCGATGTTTTTCGACAACAGCATAATATGAGTAAGAGTGAATTCGAAAATTTAACACGAACTGTTGAATCACGTTTAAATTATCGTAAAAAACAATGGAAATTTATTGGGTCATTTTATTATGCAACTGTTGTTCTTGCTCTTGTTGGTTATGGGCACGCTATACCGTATACTAAAGCAGGACGTGCTGTAACAATTGCATATGCATTAATTGGTATACCAATGTGGCTTATTATGATTCAAAGTGTTGGTGAACGACTTAATTCATTAATAACATTTGTTTTAAAACGTATTAAACGACATTTTAAACGTAAACGTGAACCGCAAATAACAGCAATGGAATTATTAACATGTGAAGCATTATTAACTGTATTAACACTTGCAACAGGTTCATATGTATTTCATCGATATGAAAATTGGCGCTATTTTGATGCATTTTATTATTGTTTATTAACATTGTAAGTATTTTTTTTTACATATATATTGTTTTAAAGAATAATACTTAGTCGTTTGATATTTCTAAACATGTTCTTTAATCTTATATAATTGAATGTAAACATGAAAATTGAAAGCATATTCTAAAATACTGGTTAAGAGATTTCTTGCAGGCATGACAATTCTCAATTTGATTATGACAATATAGACCAATTCTTATAAGCTTGCCTCGAGGTTCAAAAGCACTATATTTTTATTCCGCTTGTATATGTTCTAATTTTTTTTGGAAGCGAAATCATGAATTAAGTATCAAGTTAGTTAATATCTATATTTTTAAAATTTGATCTTTGAAAGAAAATTTATTTTATTTTTTTTTATTTTTTATTTAGAACAACTATCGGTATGTGCATTTTACTCATTGTTTTTTTTTGTTTTATATATAATAGAAAATTTCATTAATTAATAGGTTTTGGAGATTTAGTACCTATGCAAAAAGATGATTATGGTAGTATTGGTTGGTTATATATATTATTTTGTATAATGTTTATTTTAACTGGTTTAACAATAGTCGCCTCTAGTGGTAATTTACTTATCTTACGTTTTGTTGAAACAAATACTAAACGTTCAAGAAATGAACGATATGAAATGGAAGAACGACGTCGACAACAAGTACGAGTTGTGGGTGATGTTATATCATCAAACGGTCGTCTTGTTACATTAGAAGATGATGAAGATACACCATCTTTACTTGGACCTATTAATAATGCACCACGTATACCAATGGAAGCTAGTGCAAGTGATTTATCACTTTGCTCATGTCGTGGTCAATCATCATGTATACCAACATCATGTAAAACAAAATTTAAACGTAAACATCAAAATATGTTACATCAGCAAAAAACAACATTAGTTAAACCACAAATGATTGTTATACGTTCACTTCGAGAACAAATTCTTGAATCATTACAACCAAAAATTGAAATGGATGAAAATATGGCTTTACATCGATCTTATCTTCAACTAGACAAAATTCAAAAACGAAGTTCGATATAAAAGAATATTTTATTTAAATTTGCGCGTGTGCGTGCGTGTGTGTGTATTTTTCTAATTTAACAGTAAATTATCATTCCGATTTTATTTTCTATTAAAGTCTTGTGCAAATTTATTATTTTATTATTTACAGTACACTTAGGATTTCTAAAGCAACAAGAAACAGAGTTACTTCAATTAAAATTAGCTTGTTTTCATACTTCACAAGTACTTGATATAAATGCATCTTAGAGTCGATATAAGAAAAAAAACATGAAGGATGCCATTAATTATATGAAGTGTCTATGTATTGACGTCAGCAAGATAAAAATTGCTTCTCAGTTTACTATTGAAGAAGATCAGCATAGTAACAATTAATATGTAAATTATATTAGTAGTTAAGTATCGTATAATTCCATTTCTATAAAAAATAAAAAGTTATTGAAAACTTATTACTCTCATATTACGAATGAATGATCTTCTCGAATTGTTAAGTGTAAAGCGTGGGATGCTTGATTTTTTATAAATATATTCTTTTATGATTAATTTATTCTTTAATGAATAAAATTATTTTCTTCTTTTTTTAAAACACATTCATAATACATTAATAAATAATTTCTCAATCTTTTTTAATTTTATATTCTCTTTTTACGTCATTTTTGAAAAAAAAATATATGCGTAAATATTCTTCTGAGAAAATATAGTATATTAATATTAAAGTTATGGAACTGTTAATAATATGAAATTAATCGATAAACATTCGACGGAAGGATCCTTCTAGTATTACATATGAAAATAATTATGATCGAAGGTTCAATTTTTTTGATTGAGAACATCCTGTGTATCCGGAAAGCACTAATGA